CTTCTGCCTCAGCCTTCCAAGTAGCTGAAATTACAGGCATGCACTACCACACCAGGCTGATTTTTTGATTTATTGTAGAGATAAGGTCTCGCTGCCCAGGCGGGTCCTAAACCCGCGGGCTCAGGCAATCCACTCACCTCAGCCTCCCAAAGAGGCGGGATTACAGGCTGAGCCACCGAGCCCGGCTTAATCTAAGTTTTCAAAAGTAATGGCAGAATATTCTTTATCACTTTCAAAGTTATATTTTTATTCCTAACAATGTTTGTGCTACTGTTTTCTCTTTCCTCCTTTTCTTCTCCTCCTCCTCCTCTTTTTTTTTTTTTTTTTTTCCCCCTGAGTTGGGGTCTTACTCTGTTGCCCAGGTTAGAGTGCAGTAATATGATCATGGCTCACCACAGCCTTGAACTGCTGGGCTCAAGCAATTCTCCCACCTCAGCCTCCCAAGTAACTGGGACTACAGGTGTGTGTCACCAAACCCAGTCAATGTTTTTTGTTTTTGTAGAGACAAGATCTTGCTATGTTGCCTAGCCTGGTCTCGAACTCCTGGGCTCAAGTAATCCTCCTGCCTTGGCCTCCCAAAGTGTTGGGATTACAGCTAATGCACCCAGCCCTCTCCTCCTTTTCTTCCTAACATTGTTCACATCAGCTTTTTCTTCATTGTTTGTACCACCTTTTCTCCATCTCCTTCCCCTTCTTCTTTGGCCCAATCATGCCAGAGGTTTGTGTATTTGTTAGTCTTTTAAAGCTCTAAAGAAGCTGTTCTTTGTTTTGTTGTTGATCCTTTTTTTTTTTTTTTTTTAAGAGATGGGATCTTGCTATGTTGTCCAAGTTGGCCTTAAACTTCTGGGCTCAAAAGATCCTCTCCCCTCAGCCTCCCAAAGTGCTGGGATTACAGTGCAAACCACCACACCTTGCTAATTTTTTTATTTTTTGTAGAGATGAGGTCTCACTATGTTGCCCAGGATGGTCTCAAATCCTGGGCTCAAGCAATCCTCCTGCCTTGGCCTCCCAAAGTGCTGGGGTTACAGGTCTGAGCCACTGTGCCTGGCCAGGGTTGTTTTTTCACTCAACACAATTCTCTGGCGATGCACTGAGGTTAATGTGTGTATTAATAGTTTGTTCAGAGGCGGGGCTCAGTGGCTCAGCCTGTAATCCCAGCACTTCGGGAGGCCGAGGTGAGTGGATTGCCTGAGCCCACAGGTTCAAGGCCAGTCTGGGCAACTTGGTGAGACCTTGTTTCTACAATAAATCAAAAATTAGCCAGGTGTGGTAGCACACGCATATAATTCCAGCTACTTGGAATGCTGAGGTGGAAGAATAGCTGAAGCCCAGCAGGTCGAGGCTGCAGTGGCCGGGAGCGTGTTACTGCCCTCTAGTCTGGGCAACAGAGTGAGATTCCAACTCAAAATAAAAAAAAAAAAAAGTTTGTTCAATTGCTGAGTAGTATTTCATAATGAGTATACCACAGTTTAACTTACTAGAGGATATTTGAGTTGTTTCCAGGTTATTTTGTTTTGTTTTGTTTTTAACTATGAAGTTGCTATCAACAATTGTGTACAGGTTTTTGTGTGAACATAAGTATTCATTTCTCTGAAATAAATGCCCAGGAGTGCAACTACTGGTTCATACAGTAGCTTGGTTTTTAAAGAAGCTGCCAAACTGTTTTCTAGAGTGGCTGTACCATTTGACATTCCCACCAGTAATGAATCAGTGATGCAGATTCTTTGGTGTTGTATTTTTAATTTTAAGTCATTCTGATGACTGTAGTGATATCTCATTGTGGTTTTGATTTGCAGTTCTCTAGTAGCTAATAACATTGAACATCTTTTCATGTGCTTATATGCCATCTGTATATCCTCTTTGGCGAATGTTTATATGTTTTGCCTATAAACTGGGGTTTTTTACTGTTGAGTTTTTAGAGTTCTTTATATACTCCAGATACTAATGTTTTCTCATATTGTGATTTGCAAATACTTTCTCCCACTCTGTAGCTTATCTTTTCATGCTCTTAGCAGTATCTTAGGTAGGGCTCAATGGCTCATGTTTGTAATCCCAGTGCCTTGGGAGGCCAAGGTGGGAGGATAGTTTGAGGCCAGGAGTTCAAGAACAGCCTGGGCAACATGGTGAGACCCCATCACTACAAAAGTTCAAAAAAATTAGCCAGGTAGTGGGCACCTGTAGTAGTCCCAGATACTCGGGAAGCTGAGGTGGGAGGATTGCATGAAGTTTGGAGTTGGAAGCTGCGGTGAGCTGTGATCACGCCACTGCACTCCAGCCTGGGTGACAGAACCAGACCCTGTCTCTAAGAATAAAAACAAAACAGTATCTTTCACAAAGCAAGAGTTTTTAATTTTGATGAAGTATAATTCACCAGTTCTTTCTATTTTAGAGAGTATGCTTTGGTGTTAAATCTAAGAACTCTTTGTCTAGCCTTAGATCCTGAATATTTTCTCCTATAATGTTTTTAAGTCTGTAATCCATTTTGAGTTAATTTTTGTATAAGGTGTGAGACTTAAGTTGAGGTTCATTTTTTAAAACTATGGGATGTCCAGTTGTATCATTTGTTGAAAAACGATTTTTTCAACAATGAATTGAGTTTGCACTTTTGTAAAAAATCAGTTGGGCATATTTAGATGGATCTATTTCTGGGTTCACTGTTCCATTCCATCCATCCATGTATTTATTCCTCCTGCAATACCACATGGTCTTGATTACTATAGCTGTATAATAAGTCTTGAAATCAAGATACTGATTCTTCCCACTTTTACAAAATTGTTTTAATTATTCTAGGTCTTCTGTCTTTCCATGTTAATTTTAGAATAGTCTTGTCTGTATCTATGAAAAAAATCTTCCTGAGATTTTGATAGGAACCACATTCCACCTGTATATCAAACTGGAAGAATTGACATCTTAACTATGTTGAGTTTTCTAGTCCATGAACATGGCATGTCTTTCCATTTATATAGATCTTCTTTGATTTCCTTCATTAGCAGTGTCTAGTTTTCAGCACATACATCCTATATATGTTTTCTTAGATTTACATTACGTATTTCATTTTTAAAAGTAATTGTAGAGAGACCAGCCAAGGAGAGCGCGTGAACTTTCTGTGGGGCGTGGACAGGCTCTCCTCACAGGGTCTGGGCCAGGGTGGGGGTAAGGGGACTGACCCCCCAGGGTTGTGCCTGGACCCAGAGTGAAGTGGGTGATAGTCCTTTTTTCAGGCTCTTTAAAATCAATGGAGTAGGCCTGGCACGGTGGCTCAAGTCTGTAATCCCAGCACTTTTGGGGGGCTGAGGCAACCACACCTGGCTAATTGAAATTTTCAAATAACCAGATATTTGTTTCACTGATTTTCTGCATTGTTTTCCAGTCCATTGACTTATGCTCTTTATTATTTTCTTCCTTCTGGCTTGCTTTGGGTTCTGTTTGCTCCTATTTTCCTAGATTTTTGAAGCACTTAAGATTATTGATTTGAGACTTTTCCTTTTTTCTAATGTATTCAGTTAGTGCTATACATTTTCTCAGCACTGGGCTGGGTGGCTCATGCCTGTAATCCCAGCTACTTGGGAGGCTGAGACAGAGGATCATATGAGGGCAGGAGTTGAGACC